GGAGGACTGGGCAGCGAACGCATGCGCCACGGTCTGCAGCCAGACGAGGCTTGGGCCGGCTGCGACGTCGCGGTGGGGCGGCGACGGCGACGGCGACGGCGGCAACAAGATCGTACTTCGAGAAGACAAAGTAAGGCTGCCGTCAGTCCTACGCGAGTGGCGGAGCCCCGTGGCGGCGCCATTGCCGGCAAGCTTCGCAGACGGAGGTGCTATGGCACCGAAGTCGCCGCCGCTGCTGTGTTGACGGTGCCGTACCTGCAGCTTTGCTATAGCCCACATGGTCAATGCCATCTCAGTCGAAGTAGGGGTGCACCTCCGATCGACTTCCGATGGCATTGCCGCCACATTCTGAGCCATCCCCCTTCCTACCGCCGTCGCCACTGCCGTGTTGTACGACTGCCGTACGACTCCTGCAGTGGTCACCGGGGATGCAGCAGTAGCAGCAGCAAGCGGGCTGTCCATTCCACGCGCAAAGTGCTGTAGCCATTCTGACATCCAGAAATCCGGCGGCGGGCAGTCCAGCTTCGCCAACGCCACCAGTACGGTAACAAGTTGTCGTGATCCAAAGCCCATGAGACGTAATCCTACGTGTGGCACTAGCTGTGTGGACACGAAGTCCCGCAGCTCATCGCCGTCGTCGCCGTCGCCGCTGAGGACTTTGAGGGGGCCGCTGGCGGAGTTCGGGTGTGCGGGCCGCGGGAGGGTGATGGCGTTGGTGGGTCCTGAGATTAAGCCGTGGCGGACGCTAAGTAAAGGTGGCGGTGACGGCGGCGGCGTTGTCATGTACGGCATGTCAGGGCCGCGTGACGTGGATGCAGCAGGTGTGGTGTGGTGGGACGGTGACGAGGCGGGGCCGGGGGCAAGGCGGCCCAGCGCCGTGAATAGTGCAGCGAAGTGGATGGCATTGAATTTCTCGCCGTGAGATTCGTACAAGGCCTTTGCGTCCGCGATGCTGCTGACGCTGATGAGACTCCGGGTGAGCTCTTGTGCTGCGATGCGCTGTACTTTTCGGCGTTGCAGCAGCTCGGGGGAGCTGGTCACGTTATGGGCTGGTTTCGGAGCTCTGGGAACAAGTTGAATAATGAACTGGGAAGGGGCAGTGGGTTCGCCTGGAAGCCATGGACTGCAGCTCTTTGGGTCTTTGTTGACAGTCTCCCCTTGCTGTGTCCTAGCTGCGCCGACGTAGAATCGCACGTTAAGGTAGCTATGCAAAGTTCCAGTTTGATGCTGCTTCCAGGCACTATTCAGCTGGTCCTTGGTTCCGACTGAAAGGCGAGGGTATGAAATAAGTTCACGCGCTGTGACGAAATCCATGGGTTCTACATATTAATCTGACAGCATGTGGTGCAATTGAATTCCATGCGCTGGAAGGAAGGGCATTTCAGTTTCGGCGGGTTTACAAAATATTTTCGAGGAACGCACGAGCAAGTGGCGGCCATTCAAAACACAGCGAAAAGGCTTCATGCAGCAACAGCTTTTACAATATGGAATCAAAATTACCATCGTGTCCAGCTGCCCAAACCAAAAAGCTCACGGAGGCGATCGGGGTGAATCTGCTCGTACACGATTCCCGCATTGTTGTGCACATAAGGTTGGATGCATTCCTGGTCTACCATTTCAATACGCCTTGGGTTCGGGATATGCCCAATCGCCTGATCGCGGGTCGCTGTTCACGATAGTTGTGGCCAAATCTTAATTGCCTCTTGATGTCCTTGCCTTTTGCCTCTAGTGTCAAGGGGCACTTCATGTAGAGTTGCAGCACACTCCATGCCGCTTTTAAGATGCTGCAGCAGCAGGCTACCATATCGCGGCAACCGGCCCTGTGCAGGCACCACAGCCGCATGTACCATTCACAAACGGCGCTGTCGTAGTTTTCGCCGGGAAGCTCTGACCGTCTTGAACGCTCGCCGTCCCAGTCCCGATCCTGCAACCGTTTTCTCAGATTTATGATGCGGCGATAGAGCAGCGCAATTACTTTTGCCCAAGACAACCTCATATACGAGGAACTCACGCCCACCAACTTTCAACGTTACAGGTTCCACGTAGAGTCTAATGAACGTTTGAGCGTCGAAAGCATGTGCGCCGTTCAGTTCTGGGCGTCTTTCGAGCTCTGGAAAAGGTTGCGATTAGGGTTGGCGGCGATGTAGTAGAAACCCGTGTCATGAGTTTCCTGACGCTTGGCCTGATGATTACACTGGCCAGGTTATTTCCCGAAACTGTTTTCAGCCGTCTTGCCGGGCTCCAAACCCTGGAGCCACCCTGATGCCACCAAACTTGTTCCCCATCCCCCCTTTTCGTTCTTCATCCCCCAAGGGGGAACTTTCCCTCAGTTCATCCCCTGAAGGGGAACTTAAGGGGACAACCCTTTAGGGAACGATCCATTACCCGGGTGTTATAATCCACCATCATCATCATTCCGTGTCTGCTAATCGAATGTACGTATTTATATCTGCATAAGCGATGCCTGCTAGGTAATGAAGCTAGTGAGAGATTGTAAGGAGTGCGTGTCAGTCCAAAAGAGCGCATCCAAAAACCTTTCCATACGAGTCCAGACCAGTTCGCTGTTCACAGATAGTACCGCTGGAAAGTCAGGGAAGAGCAGCGATATGAGCAGATTCCACCGGGGTGGGAAGGGCTGGCGCTGTTGCCTGACGCCCGGGTTGGGTCGCGCAGAGTCGTCGTGCTCGAGACAGGGAGATGAATTCGAAAATGCCACTCCTATGCTCATGAAATTGAAGTTGTTGTGATCGGTGCAGGATAATCAGCGAATCAGAAACGCTTAATCGATCCTTCAGCTCCCTGACTATAACAAAAACTCGCGTACCTGACACGCCGAAGCACAGCACCTTCCGTCAAGGACGGGTGATTCTATAGGGGTAGTACTATTTAAAAAAATGCAAATGTGCCAAGCCCGTGACTGGCCGCGAGTTGGTACCGAAACAAAAACTTGCCACTTCCGACTTCCCAGATTGGTTAGATTCCACAATCAGGCGCAAGCCTGTCCAGGTTAAGAGTTTGATATTGTAACGTTTAAGCATCATTCTATTCGTTGGATGGCACGCGGCTGGAGGATCTGCAAGCTTCCCTCTTCAAGAGGCGAAGATTACCAGCACCTCACGCGCCAGTTGATCTTGTACAAAGGGCCTTAGTTTGTTCTTTTCTTAGTGTTAGGGACACGCACCAGGTTGTTCCGCGAAGTCGATCTTGTCGATATGGATTTCCGTACGTCTCTCAACTGCCCGGGACGCAACAGCGCTTCAAAGCCGTTCACCATGACACATAGCTTTTAAAGCTATTTGAATTGTCTCAAGCAGCTCAGGGTAGCAGGTGCCAGACTGTGTGTGTGGTTGTTACAGTGGGCTCCAGACTCCCGAAGAGTAGAGCCATCGGGCCAGCTGGCCGTGCACTGCAGTAGAGACTATTATACAAATGAGACAATCACCCAGACTGCGGCAGTGAAGCCGCTGCCATTGGAATTCTTTCATTGCGAATGGATATCATCCCTGTCTGCAGAGCTGAACTTATTTGCCTTACAATTCCTGTTAGGAGCCTATATTTGTTGCAGCAGCTGCGGCCGCAGGGCGTCCTGCATGGATCACGTGATGCGATGCATGAGGCGGCATCTGCAGATGCATCTGACATCGGCGCAGCCTAAGGCTACTTTTGTCACGTGAACTGATTACGACTGACTTTTATGAAGAATAATATTCACCGAGGGTTAAAGCTTGGTGGGAAAAACTTTGAACAGCTGTGACCTGTTCGCGTTCCAGACCTAGCGTGGGGAAGGCGGGGAAATACAGGGGCACCGATAGCGCAATTTGTATGTAACTTTCGGCCGCGTTCAACTGATGCATGAAACTTCTTGTTTGTTTGCTTCCTTGTTTTGTTATAAGCTTCAAAACTGAAAACTGGAGATATGCTAAGCGGAGCGCACGGATGCAATTGTACATCATTGATCAGCGCGAGAATTTGAGGATGCGGAGAAAAACAAATGAAAAGGACGAGACGTATCCAGGACGGCTACCTGGAGACGATGTCGCCCGCCAGGGCGCTTTGATGCCGCTCAGTACAAGTGTGATGGTGTGAATCTTCCTGTGCAACCGACAACCCCAACGTAAAGCCCCATTCGTTGAACATCAGCATGCACCATCAACCATCTCATTAGCTATCAATTTCAATGAATGGTAAGAAATTGGGACAGGCTGTCACTAGCTTCGATGATGTGGCACTTGATGCAGCAGATGTCGTCGTCGTTCCCCAGCGGAACAGCCGGTCCCTGCACCCGAGATACCGTATTTGAAGGTATTCTACTACATGTTCTACATTGCTTAAATTGCCGGCAGCAGTGCTGCGGCTGCTGGTTTTTCGCAAACCACGGGCGGCCCAGCCGTTAACCAACGCGACGGCATGATACGCGTGATGGGCCCTCAATCCAATATAATAGCCAAACAAAAATACATATAATGGTTTAAAGCTGTGATTTGCGCGTCCTGATTTGCCTGTGGAACAGGACCGTGGAACAGGACCGTAGTATTGTGTCGCTAATCACAAAAAGAAACGAAATAAAACATTATAGAAAGAGGCCAAATAATGATGACTGTTTAAAGCGACTTGTAAAGGTCAGAGGTTGCGATTTCCGCCCAAGTTTGCCACCAAACGTACGCAGCAAACAGCAGTCTGCCGGAGAAAAAAAGTGCATCAGATGTAAAAAAGCAGTAGACAGAGTTCAATATCAGCGGATGTTTACAATGCTGGACAAATGTTGCATGTCTTGGAGAAAGTCGGTCTGGCAGTTGTGCCGGGCCCATCTGGACGCTGGAGGGCGCACTGATAGGTCCACCACCAAATTTACGCCAACACCAATAGAGCAAATTAGACTTATTAATGCCAATTGTTGCGGCCGCGGTCTTAACCTGATCTTGACATACGAAAGCCGCATACGATGTCGTAAAGTGACTGTAATGAAGCATTGACAAACCGATTACTGTCAGTCGTGCAGAACAGTTTCGGAATTCCGCAGTATAAAAAGACTGTAGATTCCACCTTTGATCCATTCCTGTGCTCTGCTTAGTTACATCTGCTTGCACGGAGGCAACGTGCCGTTAAGGGCGCAGAGATCCCTTGGCCGCGAGGCATCATGGCGGCACCAAGATTTCTTTGCGCTGTATTGATCTCAATACTAGCGACGCAAGCAATCCAGGTGGCTGCGAAGTGTCCCTTTCACTTCGGCCGGGCCCGTATGGACGACGATGTCGGTGCTATCCTCCAGGCGGAACCGCGCAGGCAGGTGCTTGCTAACCTGTTGGCTTTCTGTTCTACTGTAAATGTCCATTGGATGCCTCATTCGGAGGCTCAAGGCCCTGTACTGCGTTTGCAGCAATGCCGAGCGTAGCGGCTTTTATAGCGAGCACCAAGATCACCATACCCAACAGATATTAAACGAGATTTGTTGTTTTTTGAGCTTAGGAGAGCAGTTCGAATGCTACCGAGGCTCGGTTTCAGTTTCCCATAGGAGTTGGCGCCGTCCCAGATATCCGATCCACATGAACCTGAACTGAATCAATGGAGAATTTCACTTCCATCTGTCAATTATCCCGCGATTTCATTTGTATTGTTACTTATTCCGCGACATATGCTTTCGCAATCGTAACCTGCCGACATTCACGTGTTCTGTCGCAATAAATTGACCCCTTCTTTTCACGTAGGCTCCAATACTGGCATCTTCCTAATCTTATAATGAATCCATTCTGCCCTTTCCTCCCAGGATGCTGACATCTGCTGATGTCAAAGCTGTGAATGAGCTCAACCTTGACGCTGTCAAGGCAGACCTGAAAGCTCTCTTTCTTGATTCGAAGGACTGGTGGCCAGCAGATTTTGGAAACTACGGACCTCTCATGATCCGCATGGCTTGGCACTGCGCCGGCTCGTATCGCACGTCGGATGGCCGTGGCGGCTGTGATGGTGCTCGGCAAAGGTATGCGGAGACCTCCAGCCCTTGAATGCATGCACTTTAAGTGCGAAGTCATGAAATATATATTCTATGAGATTGTTATTATAACAGAAACATTTCTAGCCATAAACTGTATTGAAGTTCGACTCGACCATCGACTTTACAAGCCCATATCGACAGTTATCGGAATGTTTCTTTTCCACATCTACAGGTTCGATCCCGAGCGTTCCTGGGCCGACAACACGAGTCTGGACAAGGCCCGCAAGCTGCTATGGCCCATCAAGGAGAAGTACGGCAGTGCGCTTTCCTGGGGTGACCTCATGATCCTCGCGGGTAACACGGCCATTGAGTCTATGGGCGGCCCCATCCTGGGCTTCTGCGCGGGCCGCATCGACGACGCGGACGGCAGCGCCTCCGAACCCCTGGGCCCCTCCCTGGATCAGGAAATGGTCGCTCCCTGCTCCGTAAATGGGGAGTGCGAGGTGAGTGCCACATCGACATGGACCCCACCAATTTCCCTGTCCATTTGTAACGTTGCAAACCGGACGAAGGTACTCGTGCCGTAACGATACTTCAGCTTCCGACCTCCCATTAGGGGGGTCAGTCCTCTGCTCTGCTCGCCACCTAGGCAGAAGTAACACCAAAAAGAAGACTGTGCACCTCATGTAATAAATGGTATATAATAAACCATCAAATAAATAAACTGCTTGTTTACGACAGTTTCTTATCCCAGCAAGATAAGACCTTGTTGTGGCGTTCGGGCTTCAGTTTAGTTGCCTCCTTCCGTACTCCTCTCTCTCGCCAGGCGCCCCTCGGCGCCTCCACCATGGAGCTCATCTACGTCAACCCCGAGGGCCCCCTGGGCAACCCGGTTCCGGAGCTGAGTGCGCCCCAAATTCGGGATATCTTCGGTCGCATGGTGGGTCGTACGGATCATCACGTGCTAGTAGTAAGTCCGTAGCGGGAAGTAAAAAAGCTGATCGTTTTGCTGCGGTCGCTGAGGTACGGTGCTCTGGTTGTGGCAGATGACGCCATATCTGCATGTCAATGTGAATATCCCAACTGGCCATGCATGCTTCCTCTTACTGCATGACGTTTTGAAATCTGGCGCTGACAGCTTTGGATACGTATTGTGGTGTAGATCGCAGCATCTACATAGCTGAGCTAAAAATTGGAAAATATTGCCGCAGTCCGCTGTGTTTACATGATGCTGCTGGATTTCTTGTACGCTTTCTTGGCGCCAACCACTCCCCGCAATGAACGACACCACAACGATACCCAACCCACATCACTCCGTACCTTGCCCTGCCGTACCGTACCGTGCCGTATCGTTCGGCACAGGCTATGAACGACTCTGAGACGGTGGCGCTGGTTGGCGGCGGACACGCCTTCGGCAAGTGCCACGGTGCGTCTTGTTGGAGGGGGGGGTGGGTGGGGCTCGCAACGTGAGCTGCGTGTACCTCTCGTCATGTACCTCGTCCCTGGTAACCTTGCTAGCCTCGGTCTGCTTGCTGTCCCCCAAACGACCTCACCAACTGCCTGTCCTTCCTAGTTTTAATTATTTGGCTTCATATGAATGATCGATCGATCGATCAAGGCCAATTGTGACCTGAGCTCCCGTCCCGTTCCGTACCTTCAGGCGCCTGCCCGACTGGCCCCGGCCCCAGCCCCCGACAGCAGCCTTGGGACCCGTGGCCCGGCACCTGCGGCAACGGCACTATGAAGGGCAAGGGCGAGAACACCTTCACCAGCGGCTTCGACGGCCCCTGGACCACCCAGCCTACCAAGTGGGACAACGAATACTACCAGGTGGGCCGGAAAGTGGTGGCGTTGAAAGACCATGAGGAGATGCATCTGGAGATCACATCTAGGGTGGTTTGGGCAGTTGGCGGCATGTATGGATGCATGCGGGCAGGCAGTGGGGGCGGAAGGCTCCGATCAAACGTTTCTCAAATTAGAATACAATGCCATGCCGACCATCCATCACTGCGTGTGTGTGTGTGTGTTTGCGTGTTTGTGTGTGTGTGTGTGTTTGCGTGTTTGTGTGTGTGTGTGTGTGTTTTTATGGCATCCGTATTCACAGAACCTGCTCAAGTATGACTGGGAGGTGTACATGGGCCCCGGAGGCCACCACCAGTGGCGCCCCGTCAAGAAGGACCCCTCTGACCCGGAGGAGCTGCCGGACATCATCATGCTCACGGCGGACGTCGCCCTCACCCGGGACCCGGCCTACCTCGAGATCGTCAAGCTCTACGCCTCCGACTTGGGCGCCCTGGAGCGCGCATTCAGCCATGCGTGGTACAAGCTCACGACCCGCGATATGGGCCCATACACGCGCTGCCTGGGCAGTCAGGTGCCTCCGCCGCAGCCCTTCCAGGCGCCCCTGCCGCCGCCGCCAGCAACACTGCCCGACTTCAAGGCCGTGTCCAAGGCCATTGCCAAGGCCCTGCGTACTGCCAGCCCGGCGCTGGAAGGCGACTTGGTGGGCGGCAAGCCGTACTACGGCGCGCTGTTCGCCAACCTGGCGTATCAGTGTGCGTGCAGCTTCCGCCAGACGGATTACACTGGCGGCTGCAACGGTGCGCGCATCCGGTTCTCTCCGCAGAAGGACTGGCCCAACAACGTGGCCATGGACAGGTGCGTGCGTGAGAGGAGGAGGAGGAGGCGCCTCACTGCACCTGCGAGATGGATGGGCGGGACAGGGGGCGCGTGAGACGGAATTGCACGTTGTGCTACGACCTGATGAGCGTCCTGACTTGTGACAGTGATAGGTTTGGAGCCTTTTATAAAAAAAGGTGAACGGGCCCCGTAGTCGCATGTGGCCATGTGTGGGTGTATGTGGGGGGTGTTGGGTGGCCTTTGGCATCTCGAGGGGCCTTATAAACCGGCGCGCCGTATTACTAGAACCTGCCCAAGCCCAAGCCCAAGCGGAGTCAACAACCAACTAATAACCGAAATGGACCAACGAACCGACATTTGTGTGCTCGCAGGGTGTTGGCAGTTTTGGAGCCGATCAAGGCCAGCTTCCCCACTCTGACGTACTCGGACCTCATCGTGCTGGCCGGCAGTAACGCCCTCACGGATGCGAAGGCCAAGGGCATCCGGTTCTGCCCGGGCCGCTCCGATGCCGACCCCAACGAGCCGCCCGCACCCGTCTATCCGCCACGTACCATGAATAACAAGTGAGGAGGCGGGCATGGCGGGAAATTTGGGGAATATATGGCCGTCTGTGTGTATGTGTGTGTGTGTGTGCGTGTGTGTGTGCGTGTGTGGCTTAAGGGTTAGGGGCGTGCGATCAGGGGCTGGGGCTTTTGCCAGGTTTGAAGGCAGGAATGTGGGGGTTTTGGTGACACGTGGTCATTTCAGCTGGGCACTTCACTCACCCGCCCGCCGATCCGACGACCCGCAATCATACACCGCCAATGTGTGCAGGATTGCGCAGTTGATGGACAACGGCATTGTGATGGGTCTTGATATGCGTGAGATGGTGGCCATCCAGGCCCGACTGCGCAGCCCCTCTCAGCAGCGCCGCCTGGGCTTCAGCGGCAGCTGGACCAACGACGCCTCCAAGCTCACCAACGAGTACTTCCGGGTGGGTGGGAGGTGCGCGCGGGTCTGTCCGCGTTCCCGTAGGCGCCGCAATGCACTGCGAACACTTAGCACTTTCTACGTGTGCTACATTTAATATTTATAATCCGTACGAATGGCTGAATTTATTCACCTAGAATTCGTTGTGAGTGGGATACGGGAAGGAGGTACACGTACAATAATACTTGGTTTGCGGCCATTGATTTTATTTATTGCTTTTGCTGCTTCTGCTGCTGCTCCAGCCACCTGCCACCTGCCGCTCGTCTACACCCTCGTCTGCTCTCCCACCGCCTCCTTCGCGCTCTCCGCCCGCCCTGTGCAGGTGCTGCTGGATAACGACTGGGTGAACGTGACCTCGTCTGCCGGTCAACTGGAGATGAAGGCTGTCGGCAAGGAGGGCATCTACATGACACCAACCGACCTGGCAATCAAGTGGGATGCCGTACTGTCCGCCATCGCGCAGGTAAACCATCGATGACTCCAGGGCCGTGGGCAGCACAACGTTGTGAGGGGGTTGCGCTGACGGCGAATATGCGGGAAGGAATGCCTTGAGAAAACGTTGTTGTACGGTTTGTGATAGCGAGCGCGACGCGCTGATGCATGGTCTGACCGGAAAGGATGATCGCGATTGTTCCGCAACTAGCTTAACTATAATTAGTTTAATTATTAACGGTAATATTCTGTCAAATCCCGCGCAGGAGTTCGCGACTGATGCCACGGCCTTCTACACTGCCTTTGCATCCGCCTGGAACAAGATGATGATTGCCGATCGGTTTAAGGGTCCCACCGCCAACGAGTGTCCGTCTTGAGCTAGCTCTCCGTTCACGCGGCGAAGTGATGCCGTTCTCGTAGCTGCTCACAACAGGTGCGAGAACGGCATCATGATCCTCGCTTTCCAGGGGGCCGACATAGGGGAGCTGCAGCCTGCGTCGTTTTTTGTGCCGCACGATATTGCAAGGCGGCTGTAGGGCGTTGAAGGCTTTACATGAAAAATTATTTAAGTAACTCGTGTTTCAAAGTGTTTTAGTGAATTAGATAGGTTTGGCGTGTTTCAACCGTTTGCCGGTGGCGGGCCCCACCCCCCGGGTGATACCCTATATAGCCCCTATTCGCTATGAGCACCACAGGAGGGAAGAAGTAAGGCCCTCGTATGTACAGCATCCTACCGTTGATTCCATCGCATGACATTGCATCGTTCATATAGATGCTTACGTGCCGCGGAAGCTAGTGTGTCACAACATATTAACAACCTCTTGCATGCTCGGGTAGGCAGGCCTGTGGTCGGAAGAATTTGCTTGTACGGGCTGAAGACGAAAAAAGCATCACTAGAATCCAGGGGTAGGGTAGTGCCGGGAAACAGTTTTTGGCGTTTATATTTTGATTGGCCACACTTGTCGGTTTTGTTGCAGCAGCAGCTGCTGCAGCAGCAGCTGATCTTTGGCACAACGCCCATCTGGAGTACGCACCATTGTGGTAAAAACGTACTTATGTGACTTAGCGTACAAGTTGCTGTCGTACGGCATACGGCATATGGCGCGATGTTGTTTGGATGATGGTGCTAAATAATAATACGTTCTGTAATTCTTTCTGGTCGACAATGATAATTCCATTCGCATCGGGCGATGAGAATGCCGCAACTGCTTAAATGTAGCGGACGTGTGGAGGTCCCTTTGCCTCCGGGCTGCGGCTATGAGTGCGTGTCTGTGTTTTACGTGCCATAACCGCGGGGTGGTAACATCGCGTGGCGAGTGACTAGATGTATGGGCCTGCCGTACCGATGACGCGAGTACAGATGGCCATCCAGCTGGCTGGATGGATGGCTGAGTGCGCCTGCTAAATATACTCGGCAAATCTGTAAGAGCTGGCTAACGACTTCCGCTACCTGAGCCGATTGTTACCGCATCTACCGCCGCTGTATGCCGCCGCTCACCAACGTGTGCGCTGACCTACAAATACTGCATGTGGGCGTGTATGGGCCCCTAATGGCTGTAAAAAGGTGATCACGGAAGCGCAGCTCTCCAGCGCGTCGTCTCCAGAAACCGCTATGTAGTCCTCAGAAGCTGTTACATCGCGATTACACTAAAACCGCGCCGGCAACGATGCCAGCCGCAGCGAACTTGAACTGAACCAAACTCAACGACGTAACCAACAGCCCGCAAACAAAACCCGCTAAAACCTCCACTCACTACCGTGAACGAGAGTTCCTTACACCGCCCCGCTGATCGGCTTGGTGGCCCCCACATGCTCTCCAAGGCAATCGGTTCGACAGTACTCTTAACTACCATGTCCTGAAAACCCGGTATTTATAAAGGTTTATAACCGGCCAGTGGCCGTGACACTTAGGCTCAAGCCACCGACAGAAGAGCTTAAATGTGCGTTTTGCGGCCCCACTTTGAAGGTATGCGCTTCTATCACCGATAACAATAAAATCCCTTGACATGATGGCTACTTCTGCCGGTGGGCGAGGGATTCAGCACAGGGAATGGTTTTGTACCCATACAGGATTTGTTAGCTAGAAGCTTGGACACAATCCTTCAAAACACATAGTCGCTGGTGCGCGAGTTTGAATGGATCCATTAACGCCTCAGGGTTTACGCAGGCCTGAGAGCAACGCCGAAACTTCCAACCCCCTTCAAGGCGAGGAAACGCGCTTCGAGCTGGTTAGGAAACCATAATCTGTGCGGGCACAAAATCCTTATTGCATTTTCAGTCATTATTGTAACATCTTCTTAACTACAGCAGCAGCAGCAGCAGCAGCAGCAACAGTTTATCATCGTAAACATGAAAAGCTTAGTCCAGAAGCCAGTAAGAAACTACCTGTTAGTGACATCCATATCCAGTTCAGGCAACTCCCAAGCGGCAGGCGGCAGGCGGCAACGCCAGGTGTGAAAGGGAAGCATTACCTGCAGGTTTGGATCTCAAAATCCAAGAAAATGCGTGAAGCTTAGATTGACTTACTTCGACTGACTTGCAAAAGTGACACTTAATAGCACAACCTCAATTGCTGGGTTTGGTGTTTTTCGATTTCTGGCCAACTTCCTGCCCGTTGCCTCTGCCTATGCCGCATGGGAATTGCTTTGCCCCGGTACCGCCGAACCAATCACTTCGTCTAAGTTGGGGGATTTCGCCTATTGTCAGCCGAGTCAGGAGTATGACCCAGATGGATGGATGGATGGATGGATGGATGGATGGATGGATGCTGTACGATACAGTGGATGTGACCACATGATGCAACCTCCGCGGACAAACGTTGTTTTCTTACTTAAAAACGCTTCTCTTCAAAGTTAAGGAAGGCTGCGGCGTTGTCGCTTTCGGCCCCTGCTAGACATGAAATGCAGTATAGCAATCTGGCAAAATGCAGTATAGCAACAACAAGGCTTGTTGTTGCTCAATTTTAAGAACAACAATCCCTGTTGCTCGCGCCGTTGCCAGATCACAACGTAACGCGAGCAATAAATAGCTTCCATCGCTCCGCTTTGCCTTTGGGGCATACCGAGAAGAGAACATGTAGCGGTACCCGCCGGGGTTTGCTTTGCCTTGAACTGCTCTTGCCCTACAGCTCCAGCCGAAACTCTTGCTTTTTGCGTGGACCTGCAAAATCTGGTTCACAGATTTGTCCGTAACCGCCTCCCCATACCCAAACGCATTACCTATCGCCTGCCTATCCAACCATACAGTACTCTTACGCTCAATAACCGCTGCAGGGGTCTTCTGCTGCACCTGTCACTGGATGAATCAAGTAGTATGGCAGACCCCCGAGGCTGGAGACCCCGGGGGGCCCTGTGCCCGGCGCCCAGAGGCCCAGAGGCACTCAGTACGTGCTTCCCTCCACAACACACCCGTAGCCCACAGGTCCCCCTCGACCCCTAACCCGCACACTACACCACAATCCCCTAAACCCGTCAGCGATCAGCAGCACATACACATACACACAGATAACACACATACAGACACACACACATATCGGCATGAAGGTGTAACAGAAACATACAGACACACATGCACATACACACGACGCGCACACCACCATCGCACCATTAGAAGTCGCGCCCCGCCCGAAGCCCCACGCCAAAAACCAAGCGATCTTCCCGGTTCACAAATCTCAATCATAACCAGCTGAACGCAGCCGACGCGACCGTTGAACGTGTGATGAGCCATTCGTTCAGCCCTCCCTCCCTCCTTCCCTACGGCCATGTGCACCATACTACTGTGAACGGTGCAGTAACATACGTAAAGGGTTGAGACGCCTTGTAAGCCTGATGTACGGTCAAGGAGAGCCCTACAGGGACGAGCATCAGTCTCTGAATACGCACATATACACAATCACACATCTCAACGACACATACACACATACAATCACACATAAGCACACACGCAACAAACACACAACAACACACGGATCCAGTGCATCAACGCCCGCGGTCACAACGTTGCCGTACATTAAACAAACAATCACAGGCGCAGACATGCATACATGCGCGCACAGGATTTCGAGCCCTCATCGCGGCTGTGATGAAATGGCAGCAGCCACAGCCACAGCCACGCTCCCCCGGGGCGCGGGCGGCAGCGGCGGCAGCGGCAGCGCTGTCGCTGCTGCCCCATACTGCCCCATACTGCTACCTTCTCCCCCCCGCCGCGCAGCCAGTCCCTCCTGCTCTGCCCTCCCCCATCCGCCTCATCTGTGCACAGATTGGTGGCCAAAAAGGCAATAAAGGTAGCAGTGGAACATGTTCCGTGAAGTGGATTTGATCTGGGGGAAGAAGCTGGATGCGCAATACCTTTACAGCTTGTGCGGAGAGAGAAGAATTTGTTCAGTCATGCGGGGGAAGATAAGCGATATGATAACAACAAATACGCTATACACATACACTATATATGCACTACACATACACTGTACAGATATGGATACCCGGGGGGGAAGGAGTTTGCCAGGAGCTAGGAGGATAAGGCCACGAACAACCCAACACGGGTCCGGATAGTGCACTGACGGGCGCAGACCAGGATAGTGGGTCGCGGAAGGGGCCCATACACACTTCGGTGCGGCCGCCCCCTCATGCCTACCGTAGCTCGTCGCCGCCTGAACTCTTATCGGCCTTGACTTGCGTGTCTTGACGCGGGTGGCTCCGCTGCATGGGAAGGGTGCCGACGGGGCGTGGCGGTATGTATGGTGCGGCAACATATCCAACATTCAGTTTGCATGGATAAAACCAACTGGCTATGCTTAAGACGGACGGTAATGGAAATGCAGGTGGGCACCAGGGGTGGAGTTAGTTGGTCGTTGGCGGTAGAAGGAAGTGGGGGATTCCTGCAGGCAGTGAGGGATTTCCTGGGTTGCGAGACGGCAGGAGAACAAAACCAACCATGTAGGCAAATTATCATCCAGTCACACCATAAACGGAACCGGGCGGACTTCTTGCAACTCGGCTATAAAAAACTAAAAAGAA